TTGTGGAATTATCAAATATATGATAACTACAATAATTTACTGAAAATATTAGCACTTTCTTTACATTAACAATGTACAATATTTTTTTAATATTCAATATCATCAGTAAATATTCACACATTGATTCTTAAATTTCTATGTCAATCCCATGATCCAATAAAAATATATGTCTCTACTATCTGTTATAATCCAAATTACATGACGCAGAAATATAATACGCTAATTAAATACATATGAAAACTAACAGTCCACTTCCAATTAAAACATATTACATTCTCCCATCTGGGCTACGGTATCGCAAATACGTTAACACATATCTAATTTATTGTTAGCGGGCGGTGCATTTAATCCCCCAATATCTCCAGATTCCAGTTGTTTCAATAATCTAAATAAAGCTGCTGCCTCTCTGATACGGCTAAATTCTATACAAAATGCTTGTACTTCTATGAACAGCTCCTTGACGTTTATAATCTTGTTCCTAATTAAAGATTGTAGAAAAACGCAGACTAAACGCACTAAGCGGTTCTGCATGTAACGATCCTTGATAGTTTCACAAGTAGAAATACAATTGCTGATATATAGATGAACAAACTCTGTTGGGAGATCAACAGTGGTCGTTAGCCTGTTCACTACTTCCATAGAGTGGAGGGACATCTCCATATTCACCAATACACTGAAGTATTCAGTTATTTGGCTAGACTGCATCAGTTTTAGCAAAACTTCTATTGCTATTAAAGGATTGTTCTCTACTAAGTCTGGCAGTTTCCCTGGTGTTAGGCCTATATGATAAACCAGCTTTGGATCCCTGTCTAGCTCGTTAACAAGATGTTGCTGTTGTTGCAATGTTAACACGCTTTTGAAAGCCTTTCCCATTAATCTTCTAGCCTCTGCCCCGGCGCAGTTTGAAACACACATGTTGGTATCATATTCTATAGTAAATTGAGAAGGCTCAGTGACATTGAACCATGGCAATTCATCCACAGAGCGATAAAGAGGTGGTGCTAATCTCAGAAATTCTGGTTGATAGCTTTGACTGCATAAAGGTGCATCATTGGCTAGTAGAAGTTCTGTCATGTTCTTAGTAGCATTCTTGTCTATCTCTGTCACCTTGGAGTGATCCATATCTGGTAATATAATTGGGTTACCACATTTAGCTATGGAAGGTAGTTCTGAATGACGTTCTGCCAATTGAACTTGCAAATTACTTAAATCAACAGGTGGTACAGTAACAAAATACAATTCATCCACTATCTGTCTAGGTGTTTTCTTTAAGATATCTTTTTGATTGTATCCCAGAAGATTTGTCAATAAATTTTTCTCACATTGGGAGAGAACTGGTATATGTCCAGAAAAGTTCGTCTTGGGTATACCTTGATTGGTGTCATCTTGTGTTGGTTTTAATACTTGGATAAAGACAGGTGCAAACGGGGTAGTTGCTAATGGTTCTCCACGATAAAGGTCAAACAATAAAGTCACTGCTATTATCCGTTGAACATTTTTTGGCAATAGATCGATGTGTTGTAATAAAAGTACCAATGTCATTCCTACTTTGAAGCGGTCCTCCTTCGAAAAAGATTGATGCATTTGATTGCAGAGACTCTCCAAACTGGTATCTAGGTTATCCTCCTCGACAATGTCCAGCAGCTTAGTTAAATTCTTCGGTGTAAGCGTCATTATACTCTTGAGTAATAACAAATGGAAAGAAACTAAGTTATGGCACCTTGATTACACTTGTTCTTCTCAATTACATTCATTAGCGATGCAAGTTGAAACCCAATGAATTAAAATCGTCTCGTAGTACACACTTGCCATTTTTTATCGAGGTTCTCCATTCAGGTCATAAATAATATAAGAAAGCAGTTGGACATATATAACAAATTATAGTATAGTTAAACAATGTATAATTGTATGTAAACAATAATTAATATTCGGAGGTTATAAATAAATTCGAATTGTTTGAAGAATGAAGATGCTCACGTATGTTGTATAAGATCGACTTTTAGAACATGGCCTGGCGCCAAACTCGAATCAAGGGACGCTGCAGCGTCCGGAAGGCAATTTACTTAATAATCAGTGAATGTCTTATCTGCCTACAATAAATCTACGAGACAGGCAATCTTAATACGCATTAAACAGTTCTACTACTTAATATCACCATTCATTTTACTGCTGCATATTAATATCGAATATTCGAGCTCAATATTATTCAATAAGAAATTCATATAGTAAATATGTAAATGTACAAAAACAACAGCTAATTAATGAATCTTTCTCACTGAAGGATGATTTGCGATTTCCTATACGTGTAGAAGATGTGTTAAGATTTCAAGTATGTAGGAAACTAGATCGTGAATTTTTGCATGTAAAGTAGATAGAAAACGATGCATTGTAACACGCTCAAGAGGTTGCTACTTACATATATTGCAATACGTTTCTTATATCGTTAGTGTTATTATTTTGCAAGAACATAAATTATAATTCCTATAAATAAAGATGCTTATGAGAAAGATAAACAATTTATTCATTACTTTTCAGTAGCTGCAATGATATGGAACATTCCTTTAATACACATTTGTGTCCAATATTATACATACATTGTATGTACAGGCAGTTCGTTCTAGTCTAGGCTACGATCGGCATCGACATCTCGGCTCAGGTCTACTCAGGAGGAGAGAAACACGGTCAACCTCTGTGAAACGGCTACGGCTACGGAATGCCAGTGGTTTCCCCCACTTGCATCCTGCATCGTTCCTGTCTCTTCCCCCTGTCCCCGGCAAATATTCTAGACACCAAATATCCCCACCCCAGGGGGCAGAAGCACCTGTTGCGCAGCTACCTGTTTTACTCGATCCCGATCCGTTCTCTCTTTCCCCCTCACTCTCCCTCACCTCGTCTCTTTCTTTCCTCTTCAGTATCGCGCACGGTGCCACGGCAATAGGACGGTTTCTATCTAATTTCTATCTCCTCTTAATCCCGTCTCGCGTCAGTGTACGTACGCGTATGGGTGCGTGTAAAAGGGCAACCAGGTGTGAAAAAAATAATGTCCCCCGCGCCACACTTATTACTGTTAGTACGTGAACCTGGTATATAGTTTTAGTGTACACATAAATGTATATGTAATATACGGTGAAATAAGTGTGCCTATGTTGTGTTATCCAAAAGAATTTTCCTTTTAGAATCGTGACAAGAGAAAAAGAGAGAAACGTGTGCAGTGGAAACGAGATTGTTTAGCGATGCGTTTCGCATGCAGTTGGATAGTTTGAGAGGAACGAGAGGAAGAAGGAGCAATGGAGGACGATCGGCCACCTCGGGATACCTGTTTCGGGGCAGGAAGCGTGGCAGGGGCTGTGATCGGCACTTTCCTCACGACGATCCTCCTGCTGTTGGCCGCCGCAATCCTTTACAGACAGTGGCGTAGGCACAAGGGTACGATTCTTGCATTCCTTTCAACGTTTTCTATGCGTACCGCTGGTACCATACTACATACGCACGTATGTGCATACCAGTAATTCACCCTTTTCTCTCATTAAATCTGCTTGCCTTAAATAGTGTTGACACTGTTACACATTTTCAGTGTTTTCGCAATGCATTCGCCATGATGAATCGATTGATCTATCGTGTATTGAATTTCGTGTAATTTGCTAACATTTAGTTGCGTTCGTTATCTTAATCATACATGTTATATTTATTAATTGTACGAATTAGCGTACGTTACTAATTGTTCGTACTATCACTATGATATTCATCGTTTATTGTGTTTACTGGGTCCTCCTTTTTTGTTAAAAGAAGCAGATTGTAAAAAATATCTTATTGATATCTTTAATTGAGAACTTAGAATAACTGTGTTTTCAACGTAACTGTCAAAGATTAAGCATTTCTGTAATCTCGTAAAAAACTTTGTTTTCATCGCTTTACAATATGTACTGTCATCCTGACATTGAAAAAGCCTTGAATATTAATCATTTGAACATAAAATGTTGCCTGAAATCGGTATACGGCTCTGGACTCTGGATGCGGTCTCCTTGAATGTTAAATATTGTAATGTAATGCAGTAGAAGGGGGGAAGGGATAGCAATTCTAAATTGACACCGTGCAGCCCTGAGCGAAGCTTCAAATCTTCTGTGTGACCGTAGCCTAATTTTGCTCTTTCGAAGAACGAGAATGGTGGGATTTTATCGCTCGAGAAGAGACAGGAGACAAACACGATTTGTCCCGGTTCGAGGCTCGAGACTCGTTTGCCATCGGCACCAACGGAGCGTACCTACATTCTTACATACATACATACATACATACATACATATATGCAAACCCGATGCGTGGCGTGGAATCTCTTGCACAATAAATCGGAATTTATTCCTACGCTACGTTGTTTCAACTAGCTTTAACTCAATGCAGTTTCTTAAAAAAGAAGAGAATTCACCACGTAGGAAACAGTACAGATTCCTACGATTCCTGATTATTCGAAGTACACAACACATACAAATTCATGACGGAAAGTATATGAGCACCACGTCAAGAAATGAATGTAATTGGAGCTCGAAGTTCAATCTTCGCAAGGAGATTAAACAAAGTTTCTACTGGAACGTGTGCGAAACAACATGATAAATTGCTTTCCACCTGTGAAACACAATATGCCGAAGATACATAATCACGTAATCGAACTTGCACTTTGAGACAGCTAGAAATGATTTTATTATTCTTAATAGGAGGCATCTATGCATGTACACGTGTATGTGTGGAATAGCGTGTGGGTACAAGAGCCATGCTAAACATACTAAATAAGTATAAATCCGCCGAATTACGTCACCATTTATAAGTAACACAACTTGCATAATGAGATAACCGTACGTCGTTTCTGTATCCTTCACAATGAATAACTCGTTTATATAGAGGGTTCAAAGAAGATCCAATAATAGGAACTCGTGTCAGGGTATTTCATAATTTTCTTGTGTACTTTTTTGTCGTAAGTGTAATGCGATAAAATGTATAAAGGAATAAAGCATGTTTACTGTCATATCTCTTATAATAATCAGTAATGTCCAACTAGAAAGAAACCGATTGAAACAATTAAAGCACGTGTTAATAATAAAAAGCATTGAATCATAATTACAACTCGTATGTTCTCAAGAATTTGTTCGTTAGAAATAGAATGTTTTTTAAGTGCTGTGCCGGCACTTTATCGCCGCATTCATCGTTTTATCTCCCTTTCCAGTTTAGAGATAATGATGACTCACTTATGTGCCAATTAACGAAAACGTAATTTTATTTTTTAACTTAACGTTTGTTCGTAAAACTTTTTGCTGAAAATTATCGCTTTTTAAATGAGGTTTAAAATCACTTATACGTGTATAAAATATTCTCAGTTAGGTTGAAACTCGAAGCGGCACAGAGTAATCTCATCCAATCTTTCTTCCTTGATTTACTCTGTATAATTGGAAAAATAAAAAAGTGCATATTGAGAAGAGTTAGAGAGTATGTACCATCGTGCCTATGTAGCCAAAGTAGATAGAGAAAAACTTAATTTCGTGTTTTTATAGTCTCTATTGTAATTGTGGTTCTCGAACTCTCGAGTCGAGTGGCATTCCAAGGTCCACCTTTTGCGTGGATACCTAGGTATACGCATCAATTGCGAATTGCGACGCAATAGCGACAAACACAGCCTAGCTACTAGCTACCGTCTATGTAATATGCAACGCAGCACTGATAGCGTTAATACAATTCCTAATTTAGACTAAACAAATGCATTTTTGCATTTATCAAGTCAAACTGAAGACTTTATTTATGTAAATTTCCAATGAACGTTGTATTCCTTGAGATTTATTGAGTAAAGTGGAAATTAGAAGGCGGGTATGACTCTTTTTCTAGGTAAGCACCTAGTGTTGGTCACCGATCCGGAGATCGTCGAAGAGGCCTACGCTTTCGACAATCCTTGCTTCAAGGATGTTACTACATCGTCCCATGAACGTCCAGTCGTATCCTCGACTCCTGGAAATACTCCAGGAAAGGATTCCGCGCGGTGGTCCACTTCCTGGACGTCGTTGGGTCTCGTATCGGTTAATCGCGACAAACGGAAGACCCTCGATGATTCTTGCCTCGGAGTAAGTCCTTTTCTTTGATACAAAATCGATTTAATTGTGAATTTCGCTTTTTATTTAATACAGTACCTGTTAGTTTCATCATTTAGTTACTCCAGTAATTTTATTTTTATGTAACGCATACATTGTATACGTTTCGAGTTCGATATTCCAAGCGGAAAGAGAGTCTACTGTACTCAACCAAATTTGGTAGCGTTTACAGTTAAATTTCATAGCCATATTTTCGTTTTGATACGTGTTCTCCTACGCTTCTGGTCGCAGAGGAAGCTCGCGGTGTATGAGCCGAATTACAATACGTAATTATTTTTTATTCAGCCATCACACGTGCTCAAAGTGTGTACAAAAGTTGGATTATACAGTTGTATAAGTAAAATATACAATTTCATGAATAGTAATCGGTCTTTTTTTTGCATAGCCGAAAGCGACGAGGATTAATGTCGTGAGTTTGAAGAGTCGAGATTTTACGGGACTGGGATTTAACATTTGCGGGAACATGAGAGAGGGAATATTCGTCAAGGATCTCTTGCACCGTGGGCCTGCATCTGAATCCGGTCGAATACATCCAGGTGTGTACACAGACTTTTAGTTAATATAAAATGTTATCGAATAAAAAAAATATTTTTCATTATATTTTCAGGCGATCGTATAGCCAGCGTGAAAATAAGTTTCCGTAATATGGTGTACGAGGACGCTCTGACGATCTTAAGCTACGCCTCGCCCTATGACGTGAAATTGGAAGTAGAGAGCGGTGTTACCGGGTCCAAACCAACTACCCTCCTAAAGAAAACGGTTGGTCCAAGCGCGGCAAGAATCTGCCATCCTCTTTACAGAAGTCAATCAATTCCCGAGCTATCGCAATCAAAAAGCGTCGCTAAAAGACTTTTTATTGTCGATCCTAACGAAAGTGCGAATTCTAATTATTCTACTATGAATTCGACTATGAAATCTTCAAGATCTATATCTGGAAATCAATATCACGAGAAGGCCCAAGATGAATCCAAAAGTACCAATCATCATAAGTTTGGTATCAAGGTTTTACCATCTTTGGATGGGACTGTTCATCGAATTGAAAATCAAAACGAGCACAATACGAATCTGGAGCGAAGGCATTCAAAGAAGTTGGAGAAACATACTGAGAAACAGTATTTATCAAATGTAGTAAATAAAACCTCGGCCTTGGATGAGAAGAAAGAAGAAGTTCAGCGTCAACAGGCTTCCTTCCAAAATAAACGAATCTCTAAAGAGAAGAACTCTTTTGAGATCCATGATGTAACTCCTAGCGATGCTACAGATAAAGGCAAGGTCACTGATGTTTCTTCTATCCAAATGCCGACGGAAGTACACAACGCAGCAATGGCAGCTCGCAGAAATCGCAAGAATAGTTCTGAGCTGTTAAATCAAAAGAGTATTGAAACTATTGAAGCCGAGGATCTGAAGAGTCAACAAAAAAACAAGAGGAAGGCACCATTACCACCCAAGAGTGCCAACCAGGATCCTGATATTTCTTTGAAAAAGAATTCAAACGAGGATAAGATAAGTACTATTTCCGATTATACGGAATCGTTATCAGAATACATAAAAAACGTGCGCGAGGATGAAAATTTAGACGACAGTATTTCCAAACAAAAATTATCTACCACGATGGGCACTTTGAGAATTGATCGACAGTCTGAGTCTGACACCGATAGTGAAATTCAGAATAGTTTTACTACTATAGAATTAAATTCCGCTGATATCACTATTCATAGAACTCCAGTTCCGGAAACAAATGATGACGACGACGATGGGGATGATGTTTACAGAAAAGCAGCCAGTTTAGGCGATTTATCAAAATATGAGTGTAAAACCTCGACTACTTTAGAAAGAGCACAAAGTTTGGATATGACAACCGAGACGGGGACCAAGAAACGTAAAGCACCACTTCCGCCGGAGGACATAACCGAGTCCACCGAGGACTTGACAAAACTGGATCAAATGGATACTTTCGACAGGCGATTACTGAAGAAATCGAACGAGTGGGGCAATTTAGAGGATGTATGGCGTAAAGGACACGATTTGGATGATAAACCAAGGAAGAAAGTTAGGAAACGGAGCAGTGGTTCACTGGAACGTTCAAAATCTTCTATTGAAATCAAACTAAAAGACGAAGAATCTAAGTCGAAAGAAGATGAGAATACAACCAGCATAGAATTATACAATTTACCTTTAAGTAAAAGACTAACCGAAGACTTTATCCGAACAGAGAGGATGTTCAATCCTGATGAGGATAATTCGTTAATTAGAATCGTCAACGATGGAAATACCGTCAAAAGTCCGACTTTGGAAGAACTAGAGTGGCAGTTTAAAACAGAAGTTTCTTTGCCTGAGGAGTTGAACAAGGATGATGTAGGCTTAGAAGGTGAAATTTCGGACGAAGACGAAAAAGCAGGAAAGAAAGATTTCGGCAAAGCCTTGAAATATTTTGAAACATATTCAGAAAAATTGGATTCTACTAAACCAATCTCCTACGCTGGAAGAAGAATGGTCGTCGAAGAACCAATGACGAAAGTGACTGTTAAAAAGGGATGTCCCGCCTGCGAAGAAAATTGTAATCGCCATGAAACCTGTAAGAAGAAGTCGTTTCCAAATAAGAGATCATCCACTCCAATTCCCTTGCAAGAATATTCTTCGAATTTGTTGGAAAATGACGACTCCATCACCGTTAACGATGAAGAGCCGTGTTCGATGTCCCCAAGCCAAGAATCGATGATGATTGATAAAGGTAGGGAAGATAAAAGCGAGAGATCGTCGATTGATTCAAAAAATCGAAGGATAATCGAGGTTCCCCTTAATCAGAGGATCACCAGGCAGGATGATGAAGATGAAGACGAATACGAGTTTGAGTCTGGTGTGACGATAAGCAACAAGAACTTGTTCGATCACCGTCATAACATTAACAATGTTAGCGTTTCTAGTGGAGAGAACAGTGAAGACAGCGGACTAGTCGGTGAATCTATGGACTATAACCCTCAGGATTTCGATAGTCGGCCACCATTACCAGTTACTCCGATGCCACCGAAAATGACTTACATAACAGAAATTAAGCTGTCACCCAAAAGGGGAAAGCTAGAAGAGGATGAGAAGAGCAGTGAGAGGATTTCTGAAACGAAAAGACAAACTGAAAAAAATGCTTCGAATGGGAAAACTGCATCCAGTAAGAAACCACCAGTTCCACCTAGAAGGACGGACATAGCAAAGAGTGGTAAGAAAGGGGCCAACGAGAAACAAATTACATACGTGTCAGAATATAAAAGTAATGAGTCAAACGAAAAGGATAATAGTTCGGACGTGAGCCAGGAAATCAAACACTTGGAAACATGATCGAAAAGTATGTCTTCGTGGGATATTATGATGAATCGGTTTCTTTTAGCAGACGGTATGTTACATTAGATTGTTCCAAAAGTTCGTGCCGTTTCTGATATACCGCATACGAATAGCCGCAGTTTTATGAAAAAGAACATCCGTTTCCAATTTTGAAGCTAAATGATCAAGCTTAGAGAACAAGTTTAACATCCGTTAAATCAAAAAGAATTGGAGGATAGAAACATAAATAAATCAAATAATTAGAAAAGTTGATCCTGATCGTAGATACAATTTGATAAGATAGATACCAGTGAAGTATCAACAATAATCAATAAAAAATCACATTCTAGCATTTTTTAGTGTACGAGTATCAGTCTTATATCAATATATTTGCTAATTCAAAAATGTAACGAAAATTTATATATAATTAAAAATTAATAATTCGGAGGATAATTAGAACATACTCTATTAATTATTATAAAATACATATTTACTCATGTACTTAATCTTGTACGTAAATATGCTCATTTTGCATAGATCTGCTCTTCAACTAGTCGAGAAAAAGTTCTGGTATTCTTCACTGATTAACCGAAAAGACTGGCTCTTGTTATTGTTAAAAAAAAGACATACACACACATTTCCCTGATATTTTATTAAAAAGATTTGTTATAAGTGGAGTCTCCTAACAAACGGGTTTACAAAATATCGTTTATTCTTTTAACTTTTAATCAATAAGAATCATCATCTGAAATAACTTATTATTTATTGATTTTATTGAAATATACATATATATCCAATAGTATTCGTCTATTAGGTGTATTTTAAATTTTCTAAATAAGAAAAAACTGTGGAAAGATGCTTTGAGGAATGACAAATCCGTCCATTATGTTCGTGTTGATTATTGGTAAACTTTTTGAAAATTATACTGTAACTAGTTAAAAATTAAATGTACATACGTATATGTATGTGTGTGCATGTGTATATACATATTTACTAATTAAAATGCATAGATAACGAATCTTTATAGGGACTGCAATACAATTTTTAAATAAAGTAATTGTGTAAGTTTTAATACGAATTTAGATGAGTGTAAAAGTTTTTTGGCAGGTGCACACGTAAGTTATGAAACGATGTATCATCACATACTTGAATTAAGAATTATTAAACTTGTCTTACACTTTTGAAATCAATCAATACGATATTGTCTTTAATACTGTAAACATTAAATGTAACAGATTAGAGTGTAATAATTTTAAATAATAATTATTATCAGCGTTCCCACTTAATTATTCCATATTGATATTTTAAATCATTAGAATTTGAAAACTTTAACATTATTATTATCATTATACTGCAAATAGTATTTAATAATGGAAAAACGGAAGACGATATACGACTTTAACATATTAGATTTTATTATCGTTATTGATAAGTTCATTAACATTCCGCTTTAATTTCAA